GCTCTCCCGGGAAGGCGCCCTCAGTGAGGTCCGGCCCACCTTTTTTTCAATGAGTCAAGTTAGCTCGATTTTGGACATGGCCAGCGAAATGTCCAGTGGGTCTTCCGGAGGTGGGCGGAGTGCTGCTCCTAGAAGGGAACCAATGAGGACTGACCCCACCGGGGGTGGGGTCAGCCCCATTGAAAGTCTGCCGGATCTCACGGCCAGAAACGATCGCTGTTGCGTTCGGCAGAGAAACCAACGAGGGGAATCCCCCCCCCCCGGGGGGTCAGCCTCATTGGTTTCTGTGCCGAACGCAACAGTCGATCGTTCTGGCCGTGAGATCAGGCCGACTTCAATGAGGCTGACCCCCCCCCCCGGGGGGTCAGCCTCATTGGATTCGGTTGGTTTTCAAAGCCATTTCGATGAACTCTTGCTCATTGCGCAAAATCACATAGGTTTGGTTCTTCGCGTGATTATGACGACGGCGCGCCGATGATATGGGCGCGAAGATGACGACGTGATCCACGATGCAATGATGACGTGGCGACGATGACGTGATGATGACGACGCCGCGATGACGTTTTCATGATGACGTGATGATAGCGCGCGACGAATTGGTTGATAAGATGACGCGCGATGAAGACGTGGTGGTTACGACGCGATTGGCTGCGAGGATGAGGGCGGTCACGGCTGTGCCAGGGATGGCGGCGACGGTGGCGGCAAAGACCACAGGGGCGAGTGGTGCGAAAATGGTGGCGATGAGCACGGCGACGCTGCAAGTGACGGCGGTCATGACTAACGCCAATGATTGAGATGCAGACGACGAAGCGCGGCGCGCGTGACTGTGATTAAGAGAAAAAAGAGGATGCTACTACTACTACTACTACCACTACTACATCAACTACATCAACTACTACTACTACTACTACTACTACTACTACTACTACTACTACTACTACTAACTCACCTATTCACTACTTACTATACATTAGTAGGTAGTAGATACTACTACACTACTACTACTAAACAACTACAACTACAAACTAATTAACTACCTTACTACTACTACTAACTACACTACTACTACTTAACTATCTACTACACTACGACTCACTACAACAAGTACTACAACTACACTATTTCTACTGCTACTACTACTACGACCACTACTGCTACTACTACTACTACAACACACTCACTACTACTGCCACTACTACTACTACTACTACTACTACTACTACTACTACTACTACTACTACTACTACTACTACTACCACTACGACTACGACTACCACTACGACTACGTCGACTACTACTACTACTACTACTACTACTACTACGACTACTACTACTACTACCACCACTACTACTAGTTCTACTACTACTACTACTACTACTACTACTACTACTACTACTACTACTACTACTACTACGACCACTACTACTACAAATACTACTACTACTACTACTACTACTACTACTACTACTACTACTACTACTACTACCACTACTACTAGGAGGAAGAACAGGAAGATTAAGAGCGCCCCGGATCGGCGGCACTGGCCGGAGGCCACTACAATCAACGAAATCCCGTCGAAATCGGTCCCCAGAGCCCTCCCGGGGTCCATCCGACGCAAGTTTTCACCATGGATCGATTTTTCCCTACATCGCGCCGCCTCGTCCTGCCAACTCGTCCCTCTTCCTCCCTCGTCCTGCCTCGTCCTAGTTCCTCCTACCTAGAGCTCCAAGAGGGCCCCAAGAAGGCTCCGAGAGGGGCGCTATGGGTCTCATCGAACCGCCGTTTTCGATGAGACCTATCGCGCTCCTCTTGGAGCCCTCTTGGGGCCGTCTTGACTCCCTCCGGGGCTCCTCGAGGACCGGCCCACCCTGTCCTGGCCCCGTCTTGGGGCTAATAGAGAGCCCTTAGGGGGCTTCAAGATAGCCTCAAGAGGACTCTAAGAGAAGGAGGCCCAGGTCTCATCGAACCGCTGTTCTCGATGAGACCTGGCGCGCTCCTCCTGGAGCCCTCTTGGGGTCCTCGTGTCCCACTCCTGGTGCCCCTCGATAGCCCTCTCACACTGACCTTCACTCGGGACGAACAAAACTTGGTCCAGATTCCCGGGGGCCACGTCGCGAAAAAAATGCAACCTCGGGGGTGGGGGTCCTCCTCCTCCTCCTCCTCCTCCTCCTCCTCCTCCCTCCCCGACTGGGGTGCCCAACGCGTGCGCTCGGGGCTCAGGCGCGCCCCCCCTCAGGGGGCGGAGGCCCGCCATCGCCGTGAGGGGCAGCCCGCGGGGGGGCTCCAGGAGGGGGGGCGACGACGACGACGACGACGACGACGACGACGACGGCGACGGCGACGACGACGACGACGACGACGACGACGACGACCACGACCACGACCACGGTAACGACGACGACGACGACGACGACGACGGCGGCGGCGGCGACGAAAACGACAGCGGCGACGACGTCGTGGTCTCGGAGGGGGAAGAGGAAAAAGAGGAGGAGGATGTGGAGGATAATGGGAATGAGCCCGATGACGACGAATAGGATTGGGATGTAGGATATGAAGACTTGCTGACTGACTGACTGACTGGGAGGAGAAGGAGGAGAGAGACGCAAGGAGGAGGAGGGGGACAGGAGGAGGAAGGTACTCGCAGTAAAGTTCCCGGTGGGGTTTTCGAGACTGGAGGAGGTGAACGAGGAGAAGGACATGAGGAGGAGGAGGAGGAAGGGGACAGGAGGAGGAGGAAGGGAGCAGGAAGAGGAGGAGGAGGAGGAGAAGGGGGGAGATACTTGCAGTAAAATTTCCGGCGGGGGTTCCGAGACTGGAGGAGGCGAGCGAGGAGAAGGACATGAGGGGGAGGAAGAGGAGGAAGAGGGGGACAAGCGGAGGAGGAGGGGGAAGGCACTTGCAGTAAAGTTTCCGGTTTGGTTTTCGAGACTGGAGGAGGAGGAGGAAATGGACAGGAGGATGTTGAGGAGGGGGACAGGAGGAGGAGGAGGAGGAGGAGGAGGAGGAGGAGGAGGGCGAAAGTACTTGCAATGTACAGTTTCCGGTGGGGGGTTCGAGACTGGGGGAGGAGAAGGAGGAGAGGGACAGCTCCAAGAGGACACCTATGGCCCCAGCAGTGCCCAATACGGATCGAATAATAAAGCCATATATTGCGGCCTTGCGGCTGCTTTCGCCGAGGCTTCTCCAGGGAGAGTAGGTCCGAATCGGCTGACGGCCGCGCTGTGTCGAGGCCAATTGGCCCGAAGACGACCAAGTTCTAGGTGCCAGATGCAAATGTTCTAGGCGCCACTTAGGGCGGTTTAGGTTGCAGGGCCGTGTAGTAAACGCCAATTATCGGGTCTGGGTGGCTGTTCCTCCCTGGAAAGACGGGGGCGGGAAGCGTCGAACCCCAAGAGGACGAAGCCTCAATGCCCTCTCGGGCAATCCGGCCCAGCGCAGCCGTAGGAGGGGGAACGAGAAGGGGGGGACTGGCTTTAGGTCGGGCCTACAAGCAGATTTTGAATGAAAATGAGAGTGTGTGTGTGTGTGTGTGCAAAATATTGAAAAATTGTCACCATTAAAAAAAAGGACGCCACCACTATTTTGGACTATGTTTGGATATTCCTCCTGTAGAGGGACATGCCCAATGCAAGACTGGCTCTGGCTTGCAGTCCCGAAACGGTGCGGTGACAGACCGTGCGGTGCCCTCGGAACCACCCAAGACCTCACCGCACGGTCTGCCAGCGCACCGTTCTTGGACGTCAAAAACCCCGGTCGCCCGAGACGTCCTCGGAGAGGGACTCGAGTCCCAAAACCGTGCGGTGACCCCGAATCCCCACCGGCTCACCATCGGGAGCGGACAAGAGGGGGGTGTCCAAGAGGGGGGGGTGCAAATCATGACCGGCGGCATGTGCGCGGCCCAGCAGGGGGGCCGGGGACGTGATGAAAGAAGACGAGGCGCCATAAGATCTGGGGAGATATCATGGCCCCCGCCATGATTTCCACCCCCCCCTAGTCATCACCCCCCTCTTTTCCGCCCTCGAAAAACCGTGCGGTGACCCCGAATCCCCACCGACTCACCGCACGGTGTGGTCGCCACACCGTTCCGGGGCCCCCTAATCTTGCAGGACCCTGCACGCGAAGCCGGGTCAACGCGCCCCTGGAGGAGGAGGAGGAGGAGGAGGAGGAGGAGGAAGAGGAGGAGGAGGAGGAGGATGGAGGAGGAGGAGGAGGAGGAGGAGGCGGAGGAGGAATCCCCACCGTCGCACCACGCGGTGTGGTCACCAAACCCGCTTGGGGGCCCCCGAGGCTCCGGGGGCGCCCGGGATCTCGGAGGGGCCCCGCCGATGCCTCGAGGCGGCAATCCCTCGGCACGGTGGGGGCCGCGGGCTCCTCGGGACACGGCTGAAGGGGCCCCAGGCCACACAAATAAATACACACAAATACGATGATGCCCCATTATGTCCTATAGTTTCTAGGTTTTCGTCTTCCCCCCCCCATTCCCATATTTTCCCATATCTTCTGGAGAATGGAGGATTCATTGTGTCTGTGTGTTTCTTTCCCTCCTGAACGGTGGGGGGGCGCCCAGGCCCCAACGGGCGACGAGGCTGGCGATTGAGGATCGATGCTCCCCCCAAGTAGCCTACAGTACAGTCGGGGCGTTGACCCAAGGAGCCCTAAAGAAGGAACGGGGCCCTTTTTTCCCATAAGTTGCACTCCGATGTCCCATGGAAAACCTCATGGAAACCTAAGGCAAGCTGTAGAACAATCAAGGAACACCGAGCCCCTCCCCAACGAAAAGGGTTCCTTCTTCAGCGCCCCGACTGTACAGTAGGAGCCCGACCACAAGGAACCTTCCACAAGAAACCCAGCCCTGAGGCCCCAGGACGTCCATGGATGGTCGATGGTTCGTGGCGCGGGAGCGTCACGCCTTCCATAGCACAGCCATCGAAACCCAAGCAGCCCAGGGCACCCTGGAGGCAAGCAGGGCGTTTCTCGGCACGGGCCTCCACTGTATAGCCTACAGCCACTCCCCATCGCTGCCCCTGGCCATGCCAACTCCCCTCCCGTCACGGCGAGAGGTAGCAAGAGGGGGGGAGAGGCCAAGATGTCTCCGGTCTCCGCCTGAGATGGCCCACGACGGGGGGGGGAGGGGGGAGCCCAAGGACGAGGAGAACGAGTGCAGCGCAGGCCACGAGGTGCTCGCTTGCAGGCGGCCCGGCGACCAGTTCCCCTCGTCCATGCGGGAGGGCGGCCAGAGGTAGAACCGGTCGCGGCCTGCACGCGGGGCTAAGGAATGCCAACCACTAGGCCTCTCTCTCTCTCTCTCTCTCTGAATGCTCATTCTCTCTCTCACTCCTCTCTCTCTCTCTCTCCCTCCCTATCTACCGACAGCTGCTCCCCCTCCTCTCTCTCAACTGAAACAACGGGAATGAAGTGCATGACACAACCACAAACTTGCGATCTGACGTATCAAGACGTTCATGAGCAGCAACCAGGCACACGCTGAGCTCCGTAACCGGTACGAAGAGGGATGCAAGCAAGGCCAGACAAGCGCCAACAACATCACCACTGCCACCACGGCTCTCCCATCCCCGAAGACACTCCGATTTCGTCACGGAGGCGTGCACGGGGAACGCGCTCAGACCGCCACCACCACAGCTCAGACGCCTGGAAGAAAGGCCACACGCGCGCGCGACGCTTCAAGGTCGAAGGCGATGTTGTAGCGTGCCCGAGCCATCAAACCCAGAAAGCCTTCTGGGCGGAGGTGGTCTAAGGCGTTTCCTCTTTCAACCTTACAGTGGAGGCCCGACCACAAGAAACTCCCCACAAGACACCCAACCCTGAGACACCAGGACGTCCATTGGTTCGTAGTGTGGGAGCGTCACGCCTTCCACGGCAAAACCATCGAAACCCAAAGAAACCTAGGGCACCCTGAAGGCAAGCAGGGTGTTTCTTGGCCTGGACCTCCACTGTTTTCTCTTCCCTTTTGCGGAGGTGTTTGCCCCTCTCTCCCTCCCTCTGGGTATGGGCAGCAGGAGTCCGCGGTCCGCCTCGGGCCCGACCAGTTGGGCCGCCCAAGCTAGCCCGCGAGGTCTCCAAGATGGCCCCGAAAGTCAAAGGTGCCACCCAGGATGGCTCGAAATCTCACTGCGCCGACCTCGCAAACGTGCTCCAGCAAATTGTTGAATGGTCTTCTGTGAACGCCAAATCCCGGAACGGCGAGCAAAAAACGGCGAAAAAATCACGCGGATGTTTGTAAATCGTCGTTCCTGGCCGGAAAAATCCGCACGACATGACCTGCGAATTCTGGAACGGAATTCTCCAGGACACTCCGGGCCCATCCGATTGTTTTCCGAACGGAAAGCGCTCTGCGATGTTGGCGCCATGACAGATCCGCAGACCCTGTCGGCATATGTGAAAGGTTTTTCTTGCTCAGTCGTCGTCGTCGTCGCTCGCCCTCAAGCGCTCCAGCCAGGGGGGAACGGAGCAACGTCGCAATCGAGTCGAAGGAATGCCCCCTTTCCTTTGATCCCTCCGCTGCCAAGGGGGGGGGGATCCCAAGGGGGGTGTCCTGGAGGGGGTGTGGAGGGGAGGGCGCGGGCCGGGAATAAGGCCGATCCCAACCACTTCGGGCCGACCCCAACAATCCCAACCACTTGGGGCCGATCCCAACCAAGCGAAATCCAACCACCGAACAGGGGCCGATCCCAACGTGGAAGAATCCTACATTAAGTCTGCAAGACGAACACCGGATTACAACCGAATCGCAACCTCTGCAGAGCCTCTGCAGAGCCTCTGACGCGCTTCGCAAGCGCCTCTGAAGCTCTTCACCAGCCCCACCGAAGCGCTTCCCAAGCGCATCTGACGCCCTTCACAAGCGCCACAAAAGCGCTTCACATGAGCTTCCGGAGCGCTTTACCTGAGGTCCTGGAACGATTCGCAAGATCTCTGCTTCCGAAAAGCTGCTGCAGCGCTGCTCATGAGCTTCAGAGGTCAGGGTAGCAGTAGTAGTAGTAGTAGTAGTAGTAGTAGTAGTAGTAGTAGTAGTAGTAGTAGTAGTAGTAGTAGTAGTAGTAGTAGTAGTAGTAGTAGTAGTAGTAGTAGTAGTAGTAGTAGTAGTAGTAGTAGTAGTAGTAGTAGTAGTAGTATAAGTAGTCGTAGTAGTAGTAGTAGTAGTAGTAGTAGTAGTAGTAGTAGTAGTAGTAGTAGTAGTAGTAGTAGTAGTAGTAGTAGTAGTAGTAGTGAGTAGTAGTAGTAGTAGTAGTAGTAGTAGTAGTAGTAGTAGTAGTAGTAGTAGTAGTAGTAGTAGTAGTAGTAGTAGTAGTAGTAGTAGTAGTAGCAGTAGTTAGTCGTAGGTCGTTGTAGTCGTCGTAGTAAGTAGGAGTAGTAGTAGTAGTAGTAATTGAAAGAATTATAGTAGTAGTAGTTCGTAGGCGTAGTAGTAGTGTAGTTAGTGTGGTTAGTGTAGTAGTAGTAGAGTAGTACTAGTCGTTAGGTAGTAGTAGTAATTACTAGAG